CACAGCTAGTTCACACCAACAGGTGGAATTGAGTGTGAATAAAAGTCCTGTACACAACTAATTTCACAAATAAACTGTAGAGTGGGTCACAATTGTGTGGTTGCTAAATGAAAGTAACCACATGTAGTAAAACCATAATGTCTGGAAGTGGAAGGTCAGTAATAGGCTCCACTATATTCTAGACTTTTCAATCTCTTGTTTGCATCTACAATATTTTATGTATGTCACTCTTGGGGGCACTTTTATACTTTGCCAATAGCAGTGAAAAGGAATGATTAGCCACATAATAGAGACCAGTTAGTCATGAGGATTGTGTGCAGGTAAATGAAGTGTTGTCATTCAGGAGAGGAGAAAAACTTAACTATATATTTAGGGAAGTAACTTCAACTCAATGTAAAGAAGACTTTCTAATTAAATGCTTAAAGATAGTGAACCAGCTTTGGGGGTAGTGGCTTTGCTGTTGTAAGGGTTAGTACTGAATGACCATTTTGTACATCAGATTATAATTCTGATGGTTAAATTGCTGGAGATTTGGTAACTGTCTATGAGGGAAGGAAAAACTGACTTGAGAATTAAATATAGAGGACCAGAATGTTTTAGCCCATACAACTCCTTTTTTTGGTGTCCTTAAATACTCAAACTGCATTGATTAATGTTCAGAGGTCATCTTTATTTTTAAACTCATCACCTCACTCTGGTACTAGATCTGAGAGTTACCACCCTAAAATTTATTTATTTATTTATTTATTTTTAAAAGAAAGATATATATATATTTATTTATTTATGCAAGCACTGGGTACAGTCAGAAGCACGGGAGGGTGAGAGAATTCACCAGAGCCAGAGGGGGGAACAGAACAGTCAGACTGACGAAATACACTGCTGAAGGGAGCAGTGGGCGTGGCAGGAGAGGTCTGTCATGCCATGTGGGACCCTCGCCGGTGGTGGCCGGGGATTGAACCCGCACTGCAGAGGCTGCGGGCAGCTTCGCAGCCCAGCGCTCAACCACTGTGCCACCAGGGGAGGCCCTACCCTAAAATTTAAATGCCAGGGCCCACTTACCTGGAGTTGGAAAGACCTCTTGTATTTTTGTGCATATTGATAATTCACCGTTGTAGGATTCTCGTATACTGACACTTGAGAGTTAGGGTTTATCAGTATTAAATTAGAGTTCTATTATGGTTCAGAACAGTGTAATGCCCTTACATCATCTGATTTACTGTTACCCACCTGCTGGTTTACAGAGTTTTAATTTTGAATTTGAGGTGATTGGCCCTTAAAATTAGAGTAAGAAAGTTTAATCATTTCAGATAACATTTAGAAGTTAGATGGGGCATTTCTTCCAAGAAATGTGTATTTCTTCGTTCTTGTGCGTTATTTGGGTAATATGTCCAGAGGGTAAAGACTTATATTGGAGAGCCAGTTTACACTTTACTGTTAGCTATAGTTGTTTTGATTTTTAAAATTAAAATACTTACAAAGGATAATTTAATTTTTTTAAATTAAAATATTCATAAACATTAAAATACTCATAAATTGTGTGGACTTTTCACGCCATTTATATTGTTCAGAGAGCACAGCTATCATATATAACTTGTACCTAATTTGTCTTTATTAATTGTAGCAGCACCAGTGATTGGGGGATTGGAAGGCAAAGAATGAAACTTTTCTTCTATTAACATAGTTCTTATTGCCTTGAGAGCAGCATTGTTAATGTTGATGGAAGGGGGAAAAATTGTACTTTCTCTTGCAAGTTTGCTTTTAAGTTAGGTATTTCTTACAGTAAATAGTTTTTGCTATTAGGACATTTGAAAATAAAAATAAAGGGGAAAAATTAGACCAAGTGCTGTCATCTTTAAAATAACTCGTTTTCTTCCATTCTTTTTCTGGTATTTAAATTGTGTTTGTTAAGTCCTGTAGCACAGACTAGATGACCAAATTGAAAGTGGTTGATTTGTTACTATTTGATGATTAATTATAAAAATTCAGGAAATGAACAGGCCTTAAAGTGATTTATTGTGTTCTTAAGGTTTCCTGTATTTGTGGACTAGAGTATTTTAATCTACTTATCCATAATCTATACAATGGTGGATTCAACCATAGCTCAGTATAACAACTGAGGTAAAGTCTGTGGCAGGATTTCTCAACCTCAGTGCTGCTGATTTTTTTTTTTTAAGATTTATTTTTATTTATTTATGCATATAAAAACTGGGGTCTAAGTCAGAGGTGCAGGGGGTGAGAGAATCCACCAGAGACAGAGGGGAATAGAACAGGCAGGTCTACTCAGATACATTGCCGAGGAGATCAGTGGGCAAGACAGGAGAGGTCTGCTGCACCATGTGGGTCAGCTCCCTGGCTGGGGATAAGTTGATAGCACTGAGACTTTAACCCTTGTGCCATGAGGGAGACCTGCTGTTGATATTTTAGATGTATATATTTCTAAATATCCTATAAGTTGTAGGAGGTTGAGTAATCTCCCTGGCCTCTGCTTACCCTCTAAATATCTGCAGCAAACTCCCATCCTTATTTGACAACCAAAAATGTCTCTAGACATGTCTTACTCCCCCTGGGAGGAAAATCACTGCTGTTGGGGAATATGTTCACATAGAAGGGTGTTTTGTCGAAGTTGATTGGATTAGGGCTTGCAAATTTTTTGGTTGAGCTCAAGTTAGATGGGGGGGGGGGATCTTTTTATTTGAGGCTTAGGAGTAGAAAAACTGCTTGAGAACTGATGTAAATAGGTAGGATTATAGTATTGTGGAAAGGGAGGTAGTAGGAATTTTAGACTCAATTTACATGATGTCCAAATATTTGAACTTTGGTGATGAACCACTGAGAGACTTTTTCCCACTAGGCAAAAATTGTGATGGGTGTTTCTTTTCTTTTTTAAAATCTGTGGCTCTAGTGTATTGAATAAAGATTATCCTGAGATAAGGGTGACCAAAGCCTTGACAGTGTTAACTGAGTCTGAGGTAGAAAATACGAAACTGTTCAGAACTGGAGGAAGAATATTTGAACTTCACGTTTAGTTTAGATTACCTTCAGGTAGAGAATGGGACATGAAGGAATCTTTTTTGAACATATGTTTTCTTCTCTTAACACCTATTTGTATGTATTGTGCAAGAAATGGAGCAGTAGGGAGAGGATTGGCTTTACTTTTGCCATAAGGCTGGTCTAAAAATTGTATGAGGCCTCTCTGGTGGCACAAGATTAAGTTGAAGATGGTGCTATCAAGCTTTTGCCAGTCAGTCACTGCAACACGAGTTAGATTCCCCAGCTGGCCAGGGAGGCGAAGCAGACCTCTCCTGTCTTTCCCACTGTTCCCCTCAGCAGTGTATTTCAGTGGATTTGCCTGTTCTGCTCCCCACTCTGTCTCTGGTGAATCCTCTCACTCCCTGCACCTCTGGCCTGTACCCCAGTTCTTATATGCATAAATAAATAAATCTTAAAAAAAAAAAAAAAAACTTTGAGGCCAGGTGTTGCTGCTGTCACTATCACTAACATGAAATTTGAGATAGTTTTTTTTTAATGATTTATTTATTTATGCATACAAGAAATGGGATGTAAGCCAGAGGTGTGGGGCAGTGTGGATGAGAGGATTCATCACAGACAGAGTGGGGAACAGAACAGGCAGACTGACTGAAATACACTGCTAAGTGGAGCAGCAGGCGAGTCAGGAGAGGTCTGCTGCGCCATGTGGGTAGCTCCCTGGCTGGCTGGGGGATTGAACTCGTGCCGCAAAGGCTGTGGACAGCTTCATAGCGCTGTGCTCAACCCCTTGCGCCACCAGGGAGGCCCTCTACTGTAGAGTTTATAGTTGCTTGTATATATCTATCACAGTCAGTCAACTTGTCTTTCTCCACCTTTATTGTAGGGTTAATTAAATGAAATGGAAAGGTCAGGTTCAGAATAACAGTATTCTCTCCTTTTAGACATGTATTTGAAGTCAGAAATTCCCTATTGTAATTTTACAAGAGAGGGAAGAAGTGATGGGAAAGTAGAGTCAGCTAATGGTCAACAAAGTAGAAAGCTTGCTGGTACTTTAATCAGCTTTCTTTCTCTGAGGATAAATGGTTGGCAGGAGGAATTTTAGTAGAAGTTAAGGCATTGTGGAATCAGAGGTTGATGAATTTAAGCTGTTACAGGTCTGTTTACTAATTCATTGTTTCCTTTTTTTTTTTTTTTTAAAGATTTATTTATTTATTTATTTATTTATACAAGCACTGGGTACAGTCAGAAGTGCAGGTGGGTGAGAGAATTCACCGGAGTCAGAGCGGGGAGCAGAGCAGGCAGAAGGACCAAAGTACACTGCTGAGGGGAGCAGCAGGTGGCAGGAGAGGTCTGTGCGCCATGCGGGACCCTCCTCCGGTGGCCGGGGAGCAGCCGGGGATCGAACCGGCGCTGCAGAGGCTGCGGGCAGCTTTGCAACCCAGTGCTCAACCGCCGCGTCACTGAGGAGGCCCACTATTTCATTGTTTCTTAAATTTCAAGAACATGACAGAATTTTGCATTAATTTCTTAAACTTGCTTAGTCATGTTATTGGTATATAGTTTTCATTAACTATCTCAGATCTCCTTTACAGTAGCTTTTTTTAAGGGATAAAAATACTTTACGGGCCTCCCCTGGTGGCGCAGGCCGTTGAGCGCAGCGCTCTGAAGCTGTCCACAGCCCCCGCAGCGCCAGTTCAATCCTGGCTGGCCGTTGAGGGTCCCACATGACTCAGCAGACCTCCTGTCTCGCCCGCTGCTCCCCTTAGCGCGGTGTATTTCGCCAGTCTGCCTGTTCTGTTCCCCGCTTTCTCTCTGGTGAATCCTCTCACCCTCCCACGCATCTGGCCTGTACCCCAGTTCTTGTATAAATAAATAAGTAAATCTTTAAAAAAAAAAAAAAAGCTATAAGCACGTTAAATTTTGCTGAAAATTTTGCTTTTGCATGTGTTTGTAGTTAGGACTTGTTAGGATATTATAAGAGTTTTTAAAATATGTACTTTTTCCCCTTTCAGTATAATAATCATGAAATTCGTTCTGGAAAACATATTGGTGTCTGCATCTCGGTTGCCAACAATAGGCTTTTTGTGGGCTCTATTCCTAAGAGTAAAACCAAGGAACAGATTCTTGAAGAATTTAGTAAAGTAACAGGTAAGTTGAATTTACTTGGGAGGAGTTGCAACTTTAATTACTGAAGGTAATTGCTTACTTTTACATGTTTTAAACACATTCATTAACAGGTAACTCTGTTTTTCAGATAGGGGAAATGGGGATTAGAAGGTTTTGGGGAATAACTTGCTTAATTTTATATAGTGAGGAGTGCAGCTGGGATTTCTACTCATTCTGCACAATGTTTATTGTGCTTCCCTGTTTTGTAAGATTGTATTTTTTGTGTGTATGCATTTTTAGGTGCTAGTTAATGTTCTTAGCAGGATTATTTGTGAAATGTTTCAATTTTCCAAATTAAAGGAATAATAACTCCTGCTGCAAGCAGAGATTATGCACTGTCAGTATGGTGCAGTTTAACTCAATGGTTTTCAAATGACTTACTAAAAAATATTTTTGTCAGGCTAACGAACATTTAAAATTTTTGTATATATTTCATTGGAAATGAAGTTATTGATTATCTGAGACCAGGAAATAGCAATTAGAATTTTAGTGTTTACTTGCATGAGAGAAATGTCTTAACCATGTCTAATCTATACTCCCATTTTCCTAAAACAATTATGTAAAGATTTTTATTGGCTCTGTCATTTACTAATGGAAGCAGTATAGTCCTTAGGTCTAATTTAAAAGAATGTTTTCTTTCATGGGGGTTTCTGTGTTGGGACCAGTTGGGAAAGTGTGGATTAAGTACATTATCTGAGTCTATTTTTTTGAGTCCCTCTAAAGATGATTCTTTTCATTTTTTCTTGTTAAGTGGTTATTTTTTGTTTTGATATTCAAACATTACATTAGAAAAGTAAATCCCTGGATCTTTTTCTTGTTATTTTTACCTAATTTCCCTGGAATGGTTGTTTACTTTCAGAGGGTCTTACAGACGTCATTTTATACCACCAACCAGACGACAAGAAAAAGAACAGAGGTTTTTGCTTCCTTGAATATGAAGATCACAAAACAGCTGCCCAGGCAAGGCGTAGATTAATGAGCGGTAAAGTCAAGGTCTGGGGAAATGTTGGAACTGTTGAATGGGCTGATCCTATAGAAGATCCTGATCCTGAGGTTATGGCAAAGGTAATGAGAGTCAAGTTAAAAGTTCTTTTTGAGGGGTTGGTGGGAGGGGGGTGAAAGCTTTAGAGAGAAGAAAAACAATTTTATGATATGATATATATTATGTGTTGCAGTAAACCATAATTTTGAAATGGAGAAGTGTTTAAGGTCACACATCAGAAATAACAACACAATGTGCATAGAAAGTGAATACAGAAATTTATTCATGACACTCAACCATAATTGTATAGCTAACAGACTTAGGATGAATTTAGGTAGCCTACATGTTGTGGAGGTGGTTTAATTCTTTTTTTGTGTGGCTTGTAAGGGCAGTTTCTTTGAGTTTTTGAGACAATTTCTTGGAGTTTTTGAGAATGGCGCCATTAGGTTACATGGTTTTTGTGTTAAAAGTCTTCCTAAAAATAGTGAACTCTACTGGCCTCAGCAGAGCTGCTGCTGTTACAGGGTTTAGCTATTATTAGGTATCCTGCTTCAGCAGTCAGTTGAGACATCCTTTGAGAACAAACATATCTTGAGTCAACAGTTTACTCACTAGTGCAGTTTGCATTTATTCCTCTGTAGTCTTTTAAGAATCCTCCTTTAATTATTATAGGTTAGCAAATATGTTGAGGTAAGTCAAAAAAGGTTGTAAAATACCAGAGTTGTGAATGTTAGTAAAGGATAAGTTGTCTTGAGGTCAGATATTACTTAGGGTTCTTATTTTTCCTCTCTCACACAAAGGTCTTGTTAGGCTAGATTAAAAAATTCTGATTCATTTCAAGTATTTTAGGATGATGAGATGTTTCTTAGCCAGAAGGTCAAATTTTGCGATTCCACTTTAGAGATTATTAATATTTTGAATATTCCAGCCCCTCTTTTAGATTTCAAAGGCAGGTCTTAAATAGTTTTGAATCACCTATGTTAACATTTTCAACAACTTCCTCAGACGGTGTGTATTCACTTTGTTAGGAAAGAACCATCTGTTTTGACTGCAGAATAATTAGTAATTTTTATTTTATTTATTTTTTAAAGATTTATTTACTTATGCAAACAAGAACTGGGGTACAGGCCAGAGGTTGGTGGGGGAAGCTGAGAGGATTCACCTGAGGCAGAGTGGGGAACAGAACAGGCAGATTGACTGAAATACACTAATGAGGGGAGCAGCGGGCGAGTCAGGGGCGATCTGGCGCCATGTGGGTAGCTCCCTGGCTGGCCAGGATCGAACTCATGCTGCAGTGGCTTAGGTTAGATTCATAGGTTGTGTCTTAACTCCTTGCACCACCAGGGAGTCCCTAATTAGTAATTTTAATATAAACTACTAAGCATATGCTTTTGAGTATAGAATACAGAGTTCACATAAGTCCCTTCCACACACACAGTCTCTCTCACCATCAACAGCCATGGCAGGGTGATATTTTTGTTAAAATCACTGAGCGTATATTCTGACAAATTGTAATTTAGAGTCCACACTTTATGTTAGCATTCACTCTTGGTATTATACATTCTATGGGTTTGACAATGCATGATGTATAGTCACCATTAAAGTATCATGCATAATAGTTTCATTGCCTTAAGAATCCTGTTACCCATCTATCTTTATTCACCCATTTTTAGATTACTAAAAAGTAATCTTTTTATTGTCTCCATAGTTTTGCCTTTTCCAGATGTCATTAGAATTGTACAGCATATAATATACATATTATATAAAAACACAGTGTGTGTGTATATATATTTCAAGATTTTATTTATTTATGCGTACAAGAACTGGGGTACAGGCCATAGGTGCAGGGATCGAGAGGATTCACCAGAGACAGAGTGGGGAGCGGATCAGGCAGGCAGACTGAAATACACTGCTGAGGGGAGCAGTGGGTGAGACAGGAGAGGTCTGCTGTGCCATGTGGGTCAGCTCCTGGCAGGCTGGGTTTGAACTTGGGCTGCAGAGCTGTGCTTAACCCCTTGAGCCACCAGGGAGGCCCTACAGTATGCATTTTTAAGATTTTCATCTTTTACTTAAATACATTCAAATACCTCCATGGCTGTCATGGCTTAATTCATTTCTTTTTAGAACTGAACAATACTCCATTGTCCGGATGTGTCAAAAGTTTTTTTATCCATTCACCTACGCAAGGGCATCTTTGTTGCTTCCATGTTTAGCAATTATGAATAAAGGTGGTATAAATATCCATGTGTAGGTTTTTGTGTAGATATGTTTCAGCTCATTTGAGTAAATACCAAGGAGTGCTATTGCTGGATTGTGTGGTGAAAGAATGCTTAATTTTGTAAGAAGCTGCCAAATTGACGATTTTTTTGTAAGAAGCTGCCAAATTGACCATATTTTTCATTTGCACCAACATTGTTGGTTTTTCTCCATAGTCTCAACAGCATTGGTGTGTTGTGGATTTTAGTAATTTTAATAGGTGTGTGCTAGTACCTCATTCTTTCAGTTTGCAGGTTTTTGCTGATAAATGATGTGAACCTGTATATACTTAGTTGGAATCTACTTTTCTTTGGTGAGATATCTGTTCAGGTTTTTCCCCATGAGATTCAGCAGTCATACTTAATGGTATTTACCCAAATGAGTTGAAAACTTAGCTTAGGTAAACTAGGTTACCTAGTTGGGAGTGACTAAAGTTAACTTTTCAGAGTGAGGCAGTGACATCTTGTGAGTGGAATCTTTGGAAGTAACAGGGAGTATGTGCCGCAGACCAGCACAGCAGTGAGCGATGAGGCCGTCTCAGGGTTGAGAGACTGCGCAGGGTGGTCAGGGATTCGGTTAAAGAAATGACAAACAGACACACTTCAAGAGTGAAAATCTGAGTGTAATTTTATTTGAGTTGGTGACCAGTATATATATGTTTTCTAAAAGCATAGGAATGGCGAACATCAGTGAAGAAATCTGCTTGCTTATAGGTTTAGCTTATCATTGACAGGGCAGTGATTTACATCTGGACCCAGGCGCATTCCTAAGTAGTTAGGCTATTAATTTTTCTTTTTGTTTTATATGATTACTTTTTGTTTTAACTACTCACTATTACTATTAATTAACACGGGTGAATTTTACTTTTCACAATGTAATATTTTTATCATTTAGATTAATACAAACTAGGCTAAGTATACAACAGAGAAATTATTAAGCTAGCAGTTCTATTAATACACAGAGTTTAGTAACGTTTCATTTGAATCAGCCTAGTTATTAGATTTCGTATGTTCTTTTTTAATCGGCAAACCAATGACCTTTTAAACAGAGAAAGAGAAAAGATTTTAGAGGGACAGTTGTATTAGAATAAAGTTTGTGGGTCTAGAGAAGGTGAGATAAGTTTCCGTGCGGACAGCATTTCTGTAGTGGCTCCTGGTGGTCGTTATCTTTCAACAGGCTTCCGTCTTATCTATGTCTTCAGGCGGTTTTTGCTGTTCTCCTCCTGCGCGCTGGTTGCCCAGCCGGACCTAGGGATTCCTAGAGGTCACTGCAGGAGGAGGTGCAGCAAGTATATCTTCAGGGGGTTTTGCTGTTCTCCGCCTGCGCGCTGGTTGCCCAGCCGGACCTAGGGACCATGGCGCAAGCCATTAGCCCTAAGGGTCACTGCAGGGGGAGGTGCAGCAAGTATGTGCATGTATGTGTTTTTTTTTTAATTTCAGGTAAAAGTGCTGTTTGTACGCAACCTTGCCAATACTGTAACAGAAGAGATTTTAGAAAAGGCATTTAGTCAGTTTGGAAAACTAGAACGAGTGAAGAAATTAAAAGATTATGCTTTCATTCATTTTGATGAGCGAGATGGTGCTGTCAAGGTAAATAACTGGGGGTAAATAACTATTGGCATCTAAACTAAGACATTAAATAATGATGTTTTTCATTCTAGAATCAGATGTTTAAAAAGTTGAAGGAAACTCACAGGTCATGTCATCCACATATGCCAATGATTTTCATTGAACTTGTAAATTGCATACATTAAGCAAATTGCATACCTTGCGAAATTAAGTAAAAACAAAAAACCCAAGCAACTGGGTCTTTATTTATTTTTTTTAAGATTTATTTATTTATGCATACAAGAACTGGGGTACAGGCCAGAGGTGGGGGGATGAGAGGCTTCACTAGAGACAGAGTGGGGAACAGAACAGGCAGATCTACTGAAATACACTGCTGAGGGGAGCAGTGGGCGAGTCAGGAGAGATCTGCTGTGCCATGGGGGTTGCTCCCTGGCCGGGGATCGAACTTGGGCTGCAGAGGCTGCGGATAGCTTCATAGGTTGCATCTTAACCCCCTTGAGCCACCGGGGAGACCTGCAACTGGGTCTTTAAATAAACTCTTACAATCCCATTTCACCCGATATTGATAATAAGTGAGTTTTTCAGCTTTAAATGAACCACAGTTCTGAAAGCCTCCTTTTGTATTGATCAATACTAATTTTTTAAGGCTATGGAAGAAATGAATGGCAAAGACTTGGAGGGAGAAAATATTGAAATTGTTTTTGCTAAGCCACCAGATCAGAAAAGGAAAGAAAGAAAAGCTCAGAGGCAAGCAGCAAAGAATCAAATGTAAGTAAAAATTGTATAAATCTTAATGTTGGTTGATTAAGTGGTAAATAGGTGGTGCTCACACCTGTTAAATCTGTATCATACCTTTAACTTTTAAAGGAGACTTGAACTAAAAGCTTAGAGTCACAGAGAAATGCCAAGAATCTCAAATTTTTTTAGCAAGTGCTTGCTATTGACCA